TGATGTTTTCAAACAGCATGACTCTTCACATGTGTATGGAATAAACACAAACAACTTTTCTCCAACATGTAAGAGTTTATTTAACAAAAATATTTCAACCTTAAAACCCCTTAATCAACAAAATCACTAAGTTAGAATCATTCACCCAAAATACGAACTTTTGACCAGTAAAGTAATGCAATGATGTCACAGTTCAATGTGAACTATGAATGTTTAAAGTAGGTTTTTAAGCACTGGAACATGGAGCTTCCTTTGTATCAACAGCATAAAATCATTTTACCTTTAGAATTATAGTAACAGACTGTAGAACTTTTTACAGATTAATTTTACAGGTTAACTAGATGAGATGAAAGAAAAAATACCGATAGAACAGACAATAAGGGTTAGTTGAAGTTGCAATACCTTCTCTTTCAGAGAGATTGGATGTAGACATGACGTCCAGTTCAATGTAGCCTGTAAAAGGGAAGGAAGTGAGGCAGTAATGTCTAATGTTTGTAATGTCACATTGATCATGCTGTTACACTTCTCCTTTTCCTCATCAGACTCAAAGTGGGTTAATGCAATTAATTTTGGGATTAGTAGTTTTTTTTATACCAGTGTGTTTGTTAACTCTATGGCGGGGTCCCAACATGGCTGATCTGAAATATTTAAACAGAAAATGTAAAAACAATTACTTTCTAACAGCACTTTGCATAAGAATGTGCTTCATTTTTGCACATATAACACATTTATATGTGGAACTAAACACTTACACTAAAGACTCCAGCATATAACTTGATATAGCGTGTAAGACTGTAGGCATTTAGAAATATTTATTTCAAATAGAAACCTGCGAAATAATGCAATTGCAGTTTTTGACAAGTGAATCTACATCAAAATTGTTTCTTTTGGAGGGGGAAAGAGAGGAAGGATTTTAGAAGTTATAATTTTAAAAGTGATCAGTATATTTGGATGACAATCATAGTATACACACTGTGTTGTGATTCAAGTCTGAAAGCAATATTTTCTATGCTGTTTCACAGAAATTTGTTCTTACCGTTTCTGAGAAGTCACCATGGATTGGTTTAAAAGAAGAAACAGAGGGATCCTGGAAGTGGGTTGATGGCACTCCTCTGAGTTCTGAGTAGGTTTTTCCTATTTTTGCATTAATCCTGTGACTGATGGTCACTCCAGGAAGATGTCACAGCTAAACAGAAACACCAGGCCAAAATAAACTTCTTTGTAGAGGAAAAACCCCTGATATAATCAAGAAAATGGAAAACTGTCATCATAAACACACTTTTTGTAAACAACATGTTTCTCTTTCTAAAATAAAAAAATTGAGTCGTTAAAATACGGGAAGTTGTTCTGCAAATGCAAACTATGTAAATCATTTATTTATCTTCTGGACTCCAAAACAAACTACTGTATTTCCACTTACAATGTGGAGCATTAAAGCTTATAAGTTGACATTTTCTTTATGTTTGTTGTCAGAGATAATGTGTGAAATAACTCTCTTGTTTGCAGACTTAAAAAATACTGGGGACAGGGCCAGCCTGATAATGCTTTTGGAGGTGAAGCTTGTGCACAGATCTGGGAAAACTACAAGACATGGAATGATAATAAATGTGATGATTCTTTCCTGTGGATCTGTGAAAAGGCTCCAGAGTAATGATGGGTAAATATTAGTTGTTGCTTTACAATTGAGGCTATTTTAAGCTTTACGTTTTGTACTCAACTGCAGATATCTGAAAATGTTATATAGATACAGTGCAGTAGCACCATGTTTAAAGTTTTCTTTTAAAAAACAAACAAATTATCCATTTGCAAATTAGGTTTAACTGTAATGCAGCTCTTTCTTCCACATAAAACCTTCTTAAATATGGATCTACAGTTTATTGTTGCTGCCAATCTGCTGTCTGCTTCATTGTAAAGCCTGTTGAAATAAATCCTGTCATCTGTAACATCTAGCAGTGTGTGGACGTCCACAAAAAGGCCTGATTTCTGTGACTGCACCAAGTGTTCACAACAATACTGAAAATACAGATAAATGGTGGTGATAGAAGAACAAATAAAGAAAAATAACAAATCATGAGCAGAAAAAAAATCACAAGACACTTGTTAAGAAATACAGAGTGGAGAGACTGTCCATGGTGATGATGATGTTGGAAAGTGTTGTACAAAAGACATTAACTTGAAAAGTTGGACCTGTATATTGAAATTCTTTGTGGCTTTTAAAGGCAATTAAATAATAAACTTGCAGATTCTGGAAGTGTCTTTTCTTTTTTTTTTTTTCTTTTTTTTGACATTTCAGGTTTTCTGGCTGCTTCCCACCATCCAAAACTATGCATGTTCTTTCTTTTATTTTTCAAGACTTTGACAGGAAAGCAGGATGTGAGAGAGAGGGAAGACATGTGGTGAAGGCCATCAGGCCGGAGCCCAAACCCACAGCAGCCAAGCTGATGACTAAAGCCTCCATATTTGTGTTGCTCTTTACCCCTCCACTGCCACACTCACTCCTTCTCTCTTTCTTGATCGTAGATGGTTATAATAAGGAACAGAAATTGAGCTCTGAGATGCAAGTCTCTCTCTCACTTTGCATCTAAAATTAAGTAAATGTTTGTGTTCATTTATGGAAATAATCACAAACTGTCTCATAAGTTTGTGAGAATCTTCTGCAGCAAACCAGATAATTTTGTCAGAATGTCTTCTTGGTCTTTTGAACATGCATGTGTGGTGAAAGATGTGATTTCCTTTGACAGATTTATATTTAAAGAAGCTCAACCACTTACATCAAGTCACTGACTCTACAGTCATGTACTGTTTAGGTTCTTGATGGCTTTTTTAGACCTCAAGTCTAGTTTTACAATATACATTTGTAAAAATCTAGAAAATGTATTCCTATCTCCTAATTTCTTTGTTTTTGTTGTTTGTTAGGCAGTGAAAAGTTCCAGATCGTTCATATAAGCTGAAAACCTAAATTTTAACCAACAGAAAACATTGTTGCTTGACTGTCTCTCCTGTTGGTACTGAGGGAGGCATTAGGCTGTAGTTGCAGCAGTTCACCACTAGAGGGCGGATTGAACACAGTGAGCATTTCTGACTCAACAGGCCAAGGAGGCGCTCACTGTCTGTGTGTTAATAGTTGTCAATAATAATAATAAAAACCGGTGAAACCACAGATTAACTGTGCAACATCTACATGGGCTGTTTGTTTAATGCTCTTTAACAAACAGCCTCATTTGAATTGTGATTAAATAAACTTCTGAAGGAAGTTTGATGCACTGTTTGTAGGAGCATCATAATAAAGGGGAATAACAACAAATTTACACCCCATCAAGACGTTCTTCCCTGTATGGCAGTGAAGGTGTATAATCTCCTGTTATTTGTCCAGATGATGCTCATCCAGGTTATGGAGGAAGCCTGTGGCCAAACTGATGTGACATCAATACATGGATGAATTCGTCACTCCAGAAGATTCGTCCATTATTGAGCTGCTAATATGGCCACTAACATTAATTTCCTGTGATGTTGACGAGGCCCTGCTCAGCAGAAAGAGGCAGATCATATTTAGTGTGATCTCTTTGTTTTTGAGACGTAGGTAATTACAAAAACTGTGACATAAAGAGAAATAAGTAATTGAATTAATAGGTAATAGACTTTCTCTCTATGCTACTCATGATGTAAGATGAGCACAAGGAGTGTTTAGTTTAATCAAACAAAATGTTATGGATGTTTTAATAAAAAAAATTAATTTCTGTAAGAAATAATAGATTTTTCACTGACATGATCAATTTTGCAAATAACCTATGTGCTAATTGTATAGGTTTATGAAAAATTGCTCTCAAAATTGTTCCTAAGCGTTTAAAAAGAATACTGTAATGTTAGACCTTCAACATTTTTAATGATCTCTTCAGGAAATATTATTTGTTTTCCAAATGTTGCCTCAAAGCAGATCAGCATCAACAGCTAAGAGCGTCTCGTGGTTCTCTGGTCTTCATCAGGCCTTTAGGTCCCAGAGCTCCTGCTGTCTCCACCCGGCCGGAGCGTCGCTGAGCTGCCAGGGACGTACAAGGCTGCTGAAACCTGCTTGAACAGGTTCTGAAACTGTTGAAAAATAGATCAAATAATCTAGAATTTAAAAAAAAGACTTTATTTAAGACAGCTAATGCTCATCCACATTAAAACTTTTAATCTTTTCAAATGTGGATGTTAAATTCTTTTAGCATATTTAAGGTTCTGAGTCCTGAATGAAATGTGCCATTGGAAAGAACAACTTCCTACAGAGGAATATTATGATTTCTTATTCTTTAATAATAATAGTATTTCCTAACCCTGGTCCTCAAGGCACACTGCCCTGCATGTTTTAGATGTTTCCCTGCTTTACTGCCTGTCTATTGAAATAACCTGCTGAAGCAAGGAAACACCTAAAGGAAACACTGATATGTAGAATGTTATAGTGTTTAATAATAGACAACACAAAGCCAGGGCCTTATCATACTTTCATCTCTCACAGTTTAAATGTGTTTCTTTGCCTATTACACTCTAAATCATTCCAGATATAACAATTGAAGAAAATGATGTCCCTGTGAACATTAGAGAAAAATTGTTTAAATTATCTTTAATGAATAAATCCTCCTATGGATAAAACTATTACTGTTAGACTGTGGACCTGTCAACGCCGTTTCATTTTTGAGTCCAATTACCATGTATGTGGAAATAACACCAAACTGACTTCAGCTAATTTGCTAATGCAAAACTCACATATCCTGCATATATGTGAAGTAAATTGTTCTGTTCAAAGTCAATTTCAAATCTTTGTTTCATCTGATCATTTTCTACTTTAGAGGGTTTGTGCATCTGATTTCAGATGAGCAACAACATGAACCCAAATCATTTCCTTCCATCGCTCACTGTGACACTGGTCGGACCCTTTTATCTCACTCTGTGTTCACAAACACTGAGCCTTTTAAAGTTGTATTTCTACTAAAAAGAAAACATATGTGTGGAGCACTAAAAGTCAGAATTCAATTATCAACAGAGAAGAATTTGGATTCAAGAAATTTTATTTATACACATAATGAAAAGGAGCAGCGAGTGACTTCTAGCAACTTAAACATTTCCTAATTTTAACTGAGCTAGTAAGCAGAGGGAGAATACATTTTCTGTTGGTGGGAGGGGGAAATAAAACGCTTGTGTATGCTTATACAGTTCATCGTTTGCAATTTTGTAACAGGCGAGTTAAACATGGTAAAGTCTGCTTGGTTGCCGAAGAATAAAAATAAATCATTTTCAGAAATTATGGAGCAAACATTGTTGGTATTTTTTTTCACAAATCCAACTTTTGGTAGCATTACATGGAAGATCATTCCAAGTTGAGCCGGCATCAAATGTGATATGTGCACAGTCCTCATCACTACCACCGTTATCAGTCTGATTGATGCTCCAGGACCTGGAATAAAGGAATAAAAAGCTTTATAATTTAATTTTAAACATTTTTAGTCAACAATAATTAGGTTTGTGATGGAGTTGTAATTGTGGTTATTTAACCAGTATTGTGTTGGGTCCTCAGATTTTGATTAGTTAACAGGCAGTCAGATGAAGAAAAAATTGAGACACAAGCATTTAAAAGCATTCTCTTTTTTAAAAGTCATTTTTACCAACTAAATAAACCTTGAAATTCTTTAAATTTCACATAAACTTCATGTGCATCCTCACTGTCAACTTAGATCTCACTCTCGAGTTTTTGAACATGTGCAGTTCATCGTGAGAACTTTAAAGAAAATGAAAGCTCTGATGTCTTTAGAGGCTCTTTCAAACTCAAATAACAAAAAATAATGGTTGGAGGTATCATGGTCCTATCTCAAGCATTGACCTGGGTTCTGTCCATCTGTCTGTCTTAGACTGAAATAACCTGTGCTGAACCACCAAATAATGAATGTCCAGCAGAAACTACTGTTTGGAAAAAAAAAGTCTGAATCTCTTAAAAAAAAAAAGACAGAAAAGAGAGACTGCAGCATCCTGATCATTATTATTATTGATGAGTGACTTGTTATGCCACTCAAATGTAATTCTACTGCACTATGAAGCTTCAGAGTTTTCAAAATTAAACATCATATTTATTTTTTAGTATCAATAATAAATAATTGATAGATACCGGAGGTAAAAATTTTTATCAGGTCAGATAGTAAATGTAATAACGATGCTAAAAATAAAATTAAAAGGTTTTGATGCTGCGACTTATTTCAATGAAATATTTAAATTCAATGTGATCTAACTTCTTGTTGATATTTGACAACATGACTTTACACAAATATTAAGTGTTTATGCAGAAACCATGTTGCAAACTAAAGGAAACAACATCCAGCGTCACTGTTGGCGCTCAATGAAAAACTGGATCCTTACGTGAAATTCGGAGCGGTTCCATCAACCCACAGCCAGGATCCCTCAGTTTCTCTCAAACCAATCCAGCCGTCCACCCCCAATTCAGCAAGAAAATTCTGTAAAATGTTGACATAAAAAGTTTTCTTTTAGGTTTGACAATTGATATAATTAAAAAATTCCTCGCTTCATTACCTTATTTCAACCACTGATCACCTAACAAATTATCGCTAAATATTAATTTAAATGATTTAGAGGAAACTTCTTGTCAGTGGAAAATCTAGTTGAGTCTTTTATCTTTACATAAAACTATACAGAGAATAAAAACAACATGCCTGCTGACTGTATTACATAACATCATAATTTAAATTTCTCTTTTTGTAAACTTGATCAGTAGTGTCCCTTTAAAATCTCTCATCACCTGCTCCTCAGGATTATTTATCACCACCAGATCTCCTCCTTCTCTTGTGCAGTCCGCTCTGCCTTCGTCCCAGGAGCCATCACCAAAGACACGGTAACAAGAACAATTGAACTTCGGCCAACCGAGAGGACACGTTGTGTCTGGAAGAAAAGAATCGAGTTCGGATATTCAAAAATTTACATGAAGATCAATTTTTTATTTTTCTTCCACTGTGAAATATCACTGCAAAATGTTCAGACTGTTTATATGCAGGCCAGAAGGAATAATAATCTAAAGACAACAGTGTTAAAGAGCAGGAATTGACGAGCAAGCAGCGCAGAGCAAAAGAAAAATAGTTTTGTCAAGTTTTAGTATGAAAATGTTATTGTACTAACACCATGTTTTTGTCGGTACAATATACCAAATAACTTCTTTGCACAGTATAAATATTGGACAAACATAATCATTTACTGTGCAAACATCAATAACATATTGTTAGAACAATGTTTTATTTTAATGTAAAGCATTTCACATTTCTAAATGTCTTCATTTTATCTTGAACATGCCAGATAATTTGGACCAATTTTGTCTTGATTTTAACTTTAACTTCACTTCATCCATCTTTAACAAAGAAAACTAAAGACTTCCTTTCAAACAAATGACAAAGCCGGAGCAACTCTTTAGACGTTTCACCAAGCTTAGCGTTCAGCAGGTCTTTGTCTTTGGACAGGAAAGAAAGTTTTTTCTCACTTTCTTGGAAAGACGCAGTTAGATTGTCAGAGAGTGTGGAGAGATCAATTGTTTCTGTCATATTATCCATGGAGTTATCTGAAAATAGATAATAAAAAAAAGAGCTTTGAAGTTGAAACATAAAAATGAATCAACACCACATTGGTTTTTGGATGATATATGTATTTTTTAAAAGTAATACAGAAATACCTACCCTATCAATATTTTTTTATTAAATAAAAAAAAAAGTGAATGGTGTTCAGGGCTTACTCTGCAGAGACGATCCCTCATCGATTCCCTCTTTAAGAGACTCAATTAGCCGGACCTTCAGCTCGTCTCTTTCTTTGGTTATGTTGAAAAGAGATTCATTGCAGGCGAGGAGACGATCAGTCAGATCACTCTGGAGTTCATCATTTGAATTACATTTGGAGTCAATATCTGAAAATAAATTTTAAAAGGCATGACATAAGAAAAATGATATCAGGAGAGCTTTGAATTTCACATTAAATTTTACTGACAAAGACAAAACTGATCAACAGAAGAGGTTTAGATTGAGGGCTCACTCTGAGCAGACATGCTTTGCTCTTTAGATTTCTCATCCAGCTTTGTTTTCAGACTGTCTCTTTCTGAAATTGTGGAGGCATGAGTCTTTTTCAAGGCCTGGAGATCCTCAGTCAGTCGACGTTTGGCGTCATTGTCTATAATAGATCAACATTTTCAGACAGTTTTACTGTACATGTTGAGATGTTGAGTGTATTTGTGTTTCAATTTAGGTTGTAAAAGAAAAAAAAGGGAACAAACAAGCACTGGATTAATAACGACCGTAGGTAAATACATAAAACAGTTGTAATAGTTTTAGGTTTCTAAGCAGACTCACACTGAGCGTTGGCGACCAGCAGTCCGATGAGCAGGCAGATGCTGAACACTCCGAAGAACAGAATGACACTCAGATGGAAACGACTCTCTGAACCTGAACAGAGGGAAGATTACAGCCAAGACAGCAGACAACAGAAACATCATCAGGTTGTTGGTCTGAACTAAACTCACCTCTGCAGTTTCTTAAAGAAGCAGAGTTGGAAAGTCTGCTGTGCTGAACATGCATGTGCTTTTTCTCCATCGTGACCCGTTGGCTGCAGGCTGTGCAGCACCAACAACTAACGTAACATGCAAAGCAAGATTGGTACAAAAGACTCTTACTGTGCATAAGACACACCCACAGCATAAGCAGCACCATTAGACAGGAATCTGCTGAACAGGTGGAGTTTTTTGGTTTGCAGTTCAAAACTGTTTTTCTTTCTGCTGGTTTCTTCAAGAAAACCCCCACATAAAAACTCAACTTCCTGCTTTCAACGAGGCTCAATAAGAGCACCACAAATTAGCCATTTTGTGGTGCATTTCTGGCAAACGAGAATATAAACTGAGCATTGTGATGATGATACTTGATAAAAAATTACTTTTATATGGAGTTTTAAGAAGGAAAACTAGTTTAAATTCTAGTTGGTTATTCTATGAAATGTGCAGAGGTCTTTGAGGTGAGGTATTTTATAAGAAAAACACTTTATTCGTATGAGAGTCTTTGGTTCTAATCAGTTTTTCATAAGAAGCTTAACGCCACATGGGAGTGAATTTACAATGTTGGCAAAAACCTTACTTTGGGTTGATTTTCATACGCATTAATTTACAAGACATTCATGGAGTGTGGAATCTGTTCCAGTGGGTTTGTTGGTTTAATAAAAACATTTCAGGTTTAGTTACTTCAAATACTGTTTTGCAGAGCTGTGAAACCATTTGTGCCTTCACAGATTTTTTTTTGTTACAGAATTTCAGACCATTAATCAGATGTTATTATCAGACAAAAATACAAAATGCTTCCATTTATCAGGGGAAAAAGGCATCCAACAAACCTAGCTCTAAAAAAATAATTGTTCCCTTAATGGCAACAGCTGAAATCAACTGAGTGCTTTGTGTCACCGTGGGGGAAATTTTGTAGAATTGCTTTAATTTAGCAAGACTGAAGAATTTTTTATGAGCGACCAGTTTAATCTCAATTGGATTTAAACCTGGACCCCACGTCAAAACCTACTGTTTCTCATTTTTTTCAGAGGTGGATTTGTTGGTTTGCTTTGAATCCGTTAATTTATTCAGATCACAGCATGAAATATTGCTTATTGAGGTCTGCCAGCCAACTTCACTTCAGTTTGCATGTCTTTTTTTCTTAAAAATTTAAAACATCATTTGAAACCTGCTTGTGGTGTTCACTCAAATCATCTTTTTCTGATATTAAAATTAGCTTGATAATGTAAAAGATTTGTTTTGAAAAATAAAAAATTAAGAGCAAAATGATAAGTGCATCAGGCTGCATCCGGTTTTAAATTTATAATTATTATAAAATGTATGTTTTTTTATCTGAAAATATGAGTTATAATTTGAAAGCAAAAACTGGAAATCTAAAACGGAGACAAGGTTAGAGGTTTTTACAAAGTGTCAGAGTATAGTTGATGATTTGTAAAACAAAAAATTCCAGCAATTTCAGCTAATAGATAATGAAAGATGCACCGCGCAGCAAAGAATAACTTTAACTTATTAGGCCCGAGCAGCTAAGCGCTGCGAGAGCCTATTGAAACCTTGCTGTAAATTATTAGGCCCGAGCAGCTAAGCGCTGCGAGAGCCTATTGAAACCTTGCTGTAAATTATTATTAGGCCCGAGCAGCTAAGCGCTGCGAGAGCCTATTGAAACCTTGCTGTAAATTATTATTAGGCC